ATATGAATGCGCCATGACACAGACTAAGGGCTATTTGTTTGTCAGTATCAGTCTACTGTCTGATATAGTGGTCAGTGCAAGGGTCAGTATCAGTCTACTGTCTGGGAAGTCGTAAGTTCAAAATCCCCCGTCTACAAAGGAAATGTGCTGAGTGAACTTGCTCTGGACACAGACTCTCAGCCTAATCCACCTCACTGGCTTGTTGTTATTCCTCATCTAAATAGTTCACATTGCTTTCCTATTGAGAAAGACTGGATCATGAGGGCATGAATACAGTGAAAAGGGGGAGGGGAACCCAGTTGCATCCAGGAGACCCCTAGCATAACAAACCCAAATTAACACACACACACTTTTTCTCTCTGTGTAGCAAGGCAAAAAGCTCATACCTTAAATAAAATTTTGTTGGTTTTAAAGGTGCTTCATATCTCTCAGATGTGATTGAGGGAACTGGGCAAAGCACACTTTCACTCTTTCTCTCCCTCCCCACCAGGGGACAAGGAGGGGGAGGAGCATCAGCCAAAGCAAGCTCTCACTCTCTTCCTCCCCAAGGAAGGAGGAGTCTCAGCCAATGGAGGAAAGAGAGGCTTTGCTCTGTAGCTCCTTTGTGATTGAGAGAGCCTGGCAAAGCAAGCTGTGACACAGAAGGAAGCAATAGAGTGGAAGAAGGAAGCAGATGACAGCCAGTTGCTCGCGGGCTGCATACAAGCCCCATGGGGGCCAGATCTGGCCCACGGGCCACATGTTTGACATCCCTGCCATAGAGTGTCAGCTGATGTCACATCTGGGTTTTCACCTGGACGTTATGTCAGCATCTAGAGCCATGTAATTTCTATTCACCACTGTTTTCCTGCTGGCCCCAGAGGTAAGGGTGGGTCCAGCAGCAGGAGAATACCCACTCAATGTGGGCAACTGGCATCTCTGGAATCAAATCATATGCCTTACCTGGTAGTGGGAGCTAGGGTAATCAGAACCTCAGGAATATTGCACCTGTAGTCTCCCCATACCCCCCCTCCAATATATTTCCTCTCAGCTGTTCCCAGAAATGGGATTTGATGGACAAATGTAATGTGTGAAAAACAGATAGTACTTCAAGTATAATGGATACTCACATCACAGTATATGCCCCAAAGAGCACTATGCTCTATGGATTAACTCCTCCTGGTAGTCCCTGGCCCGAAAGTCATCTGTCTTGCCTCAGCCAGGGCCTTTTCTGCCGTGGCCCCTGCCTAGTAGAACATGCTCCCCACTGAGATCAGGGCCCTGCAGGATTTACTTCAATTCCGCAGGGCCTGCAAGATGGAGCTGTTCCGCCAGGCCTTTGGCTGAGGCAGCAGACGTCCATATATGGCCTCCTTGAGGTGTATGTCACTCTGTTAACAACTACTGGCTATGGCGAGGAACATCCCACAACCAGAAAATTTCTTTGTTATCAGCTGTGGCCACCATTTTAATATTTATGATGATGTTTTAAATTTGAATTTTATTGCATTAACTAATATATTTTGTATAAATGACATGTTACCCGTCCTGAGCCCACCTCTGGGAAGGACGGATTATAAATGTGAAGAAATAAAATAAATAAATAAGGTATCCATGCAGTGGTGGGTTTTTGTTTTATTTTTAAACTGCTTAACACAGTTCATTTCTTGAAGGACATTGTGCTTCCCTCCTTCAGTAGGGTTCAGCTCACCTTCTCTGACTCGGTCAAGAGCTTAGGGGTTATACTGGATCCAACATTACTGCTGGAGAAGAGAAATAATGCAGTTGCTTTCTACCGGTTAGTTTAGCCCACAAGATGCCCCCCTACCTTGATTAGCTTATCTGGCCACCTGGATCCATGTCATGGGAACATTGAGAGTAGACAACTGTAATGTACTCTAAATAGTTAAAGTCAAGTTGGAGACTTCAGTTAGTGCAGAATGCTGCAGCTTTGTTATTATCAGGAGCTAGGCAGAGCATGCATATTAGCCCCATTCTCCTGTCTCTCCATTGGCTGCCCATCAGCTCCTGGGTTCTGTTGACAGTTATTGGCCATCACAATCAAAAGCCCTTCATGACCTTGGACCTTCATACTTTGGACTACCTTTCCCCCTGTGCTCATTTGAGCGTGGACTTCTGTAGGTGCTACCCTACAAATGAGCAAGATCAATAACCATCCATACATGTGCATTCGCTGGCCTGCTTTTACTAGAAGGAGTAAGGGTTATTTACACAGATTTAAAATTTGCATAGTCAATAAATAAAACTTAGATAAATATTACAAAAATGTTTTTCCATGTAAGAACCATATGAATTTATGGGGGAAACAAAAAAACCACATAGACTTAATGCTCCTAATTTGTAATCTAGTTTGTAATCTGTAAACACTGAATTATTTTAATAGTCTGAGATTACCCAAGTGATGATATCAAACAGAATAAACAGTACTAGCTCTAAAAGAAATAAAATGTTGCAGTGCAATTGAAAATAAACAGGCACCATTGATTCCTCTCTGTCATTTCTAGCATACTGGCCCCAAAAGCCTAGGAGAGCCAGTTTGGTGTAGTGGTTAAGTATGCGGACTCTGATCTGGGAGAACCGGGTTTGATTCCCCACTCCTCCACTTGCACCTGCTGATGTGACCTTGGGTCAGTCACAAGCTCTGGCACAGTTTGTGTCAAGAGTTCTCTCAGCCCCACCCACCTCACAGGGTGTCTGTTGTGGGGAGGGGGAGGGAAAGGAGTTTGTAAGCCACGCTGAGACTCCAAGTGAAGGGCGGGATATAAATTCAATCCTCCTCCTCCTCCTCTTCCTCCTCCTCCTCCTCCTCCTCCTTCTTCTACTACCGTCTCCGCTATTTACCTTGCCACAAAAAAAAACAGCTTGCCAAATTAGCTTCCTACAGAAGATAATAATTCCAAATGAGATCAGATAAAACCAGTGCCATTTTTTATATTTTCAATATAATAAAAATTAAACAAGTGTTTATTTTAAAAGTTTATCCAGATAGACTTTTTCCTCTGTCTAGTGTTTATTACTGAATAATTCATGATAACAGGTACTATCCTACTATCTCTGCATGGAAAGTATAGCTTCCTCACCTTATTCTACATCACTGCAGTTCTTTCCAACTCCTGAAAAGATCAGTCCCATGGAGAAAATATCATGTGGGTTGTGGGGGCTGGAGTGAGAAAGTACAAGGAATGGAAATTGCTCTCCTTTCATCTTCTGCGAGTATAGCTCTTGCCCTTGCCCCTCCTAAATTACAGCCCTTCAAACCTTACAGCTGTTCTTCTGCATGGATCCTGCAGTCCCAGTCTGAGGCTGGGAAGAACTGCAGCAATGCAGAGGAATGTGGGAAAGGGGTGTACCTTCTGTGTTCATATCGTTAGTGTAATGTATTGAAATGATTACATGAATCACCTCATAGGACTCCCCTGTTAAGCTTCGAGCCAGACCAGGGCTCCTCTGAGCGAACTTCCTATTGGTCGCTTCGTAACAGCGACCAATCAGAACGATACCATTCCCTAGGAGGGAAAGACTCCCATTGGTCTTTATTCTAGCAATCTCATTGGTTGTTATTTGTAAATAGGCGTGGCTACATTAGCCCGGTTATGTTTAAAAGGAGCATAAGCTCCCACTGTTTTCTGTTCTGGTTTCTTACTGAGTTAGTGCTTGCTCGTTACTTCCAATAAAGCTGAATCACTTGCTGAATCACTGTACGAGTCCTTTGTTAGCGCGATCTAACAATTGGCGACGAGGATGGGATGTTAGAGCAGGTAGGCAGCCCTGCGGACATCCACACTTCGGACTCGGAAGAAAGCGGGCAGAGCACAGCAGCCGATCCGGCGGAGGCGCCACCAGCTCCGGTGCCCAAGTCTCCCCCGATGGCTGGAAGCCAGAAGTTCGAGTGCTTCGAACCCTCCTCAGAAGACTGGGACTCCTACCTGTCCAGGTTCGAGTTCCATCTGGAGACCCACGACATCACCGATGAGGCGAAGAAACGAGCATGCCTCCTGAGTTCCTGCGGGAAGGGGACCTTCGACATAGCCAGGTCGTTGGTGGCCCCAACTGATATAAAGACTGTCACCTACGCTGACATCACGGAGAAGCTTAAGGCTCACTATTCTCCACAACCGTCGGAGATCGCCTGCCGGCACGCTTTTTACAAGCGGAACCAGGCCGGAGGCGAGACCATCGCAGATTTCGTGGCGGCCCTTCGCAAAGCCGCACGGCCATGTAATTTCCACAACGTGGAGGAAGCCCTCAGAGACCGTCTCGTCTGCGGTCTCAAAGATGAAAGGCTGCAACAGAGGCTGTTCGCCCGCACCACCCTGACCTGGGCAGTGGCCTACGAAGAGGCCGTGGCCGCGGAAGCAGCGGAGAAGTCCACGAAGGAGGTCCGCCAGCGGGTGGCAGAGCCCAGTATACACGCTCAACGAGACAGCGAGGGCGAAGACGCGGATGATGACGTCAACGCGGTTCGAGGCAAGCGGACCCCAGCGAAGACTACCAACGTCAAGCCTTGCTCCGGTTGTGGCGGGAAACACCAGCGCGACTCCTGTTGGGCTCGTGATGTCGACTGCAGAGCGTGTGGGCGGCGTGGTCATCTGGCCAGAGTCTGCAGATCAGCAAAGAAGGATCCCTCAACTAACAACCGGTCAGCGCAGAGGGGCACTCCAGTCAGCACCCAAGGCAAGACCCGTTCCTCAGCATCGGAAGCAAGCTGCCAGTTGACGGCGACCTTGTCGAGCGCATCGGCCGTAAATCGCACCAGCAGCCAGGGCAAGATCACCGTGACTCCACTCCTCGACGGCCGACCCTGTACAATGGAGGTGGACTCAGGATCGTCCGTGACGGTGATTTCTGCCGCGTCCTGGCGCCAGTTGTTCCCGAACCGAAGCCGGCGGCGGCTCCAGCCTGCGGGAACCAGAGTGTCCGACTTCCAGGGCAACCGAATTCCCTTGGCCGGACGGGACTCTGTTACTGTTGAGTATAAGGGGAAATGTGTTAAACTGTCATTCCTGATTGCAGAGGGAGACCGGGTTAACCTGCTAGGGTTAGATTGGTTTGAGCCATTGGGCATTGGTATTTCTGGGATTAACAGGATGTCTGAAAATAAATGGGGCATGCTGTACGACCTGTTCCCTGATGTATTTGCCGAAGGGTTGGGGAGGTACAAGGGCCCCCCGGTTGCGTTTGACTTAGATCCGTCAGTCAAACCTATTAGGTTGAAGTATCGGAAAGTACCTGTGTCTCTCAAACATAAGGTGGAAAAAGAGATTGACAAACTAGTTGAGCAAGGGGTTTTAGAGCCAGTACCATACAGCAAATGGGAGACCCCGATCGTAACCCCTGTCAAATCAGATGGGTCCATACGACTATGCGCCGATTACAAATGTACGATTAACAAGGCGCTGCAGCAACATTCGTACCCGGTCCCGGTAATAAGCCACATTTTGGCTTCCCTGGGGGGTGGCAAGATTTTCGCCAAATTTGACCTGGCCCAGGCATACCAGCAGTTGCCTGTCACCCCGGAGGCTGCCGAGGCCCAAACAATTGTAACCCACCAAGGGGCTTTTAAAGTGAACAGGCTGCAATTCGGGGTCAACGTAGCACCTGGGATTTTTCAGGGCCTCATGGAACGTCTACTAAGGGGGGTACCTGGCACAGTGCCCTATTTTGACGACGTGCTGATTGCGGGCGGGTCTGAACAGGAACTACTGGACCGGGTTAAAGAGGTCCTCAGGCGTTTTCAAAATGCCGGTCTCAGAGTTAAGCGCTCAAAATGCACGCTCGGGGTGGAAAGTGTGGACTTCCTGGGGTTTCGCATTGACGCAGAGGGAGTCCACCCCACGGATGAGAAGGTATCTGCAATCCAAAACGCCCCCAGGCCGGTGAGTAAGAAGGAGCTCCAATCCTTTTTAGGACTCCTGAATTTTTATCATGCGTTTTTACCGCATAAGGCATCAGTGGCGGCCCCTTTGCACGCGCTTTTGCACAAGGAGGCAAAATGGAAGTGGGGGCAGGCCGAGGAAAAGGCTTTTGTGGGAGTCAAGGAGCTGCTGACATCTAATGCCGTACTCACGCATTATGATGAACACAAGCTCCTGGTGTTAGCTGCTGACGCTTCACCTTTTGGAGTAGGCGCAGTTTTAAGCCATCTGATGCCTGATGGGAGCGAAGCGCCTATCGCTTTTTATTCTAGATCACTATCTGCGGCAGAGCGGAACTATGCCCAGATAGACAAGGAGGGTCTGGCGTTGGTAGCGGCTGTCAAAAAGTTCCATGATTTTATTTTTGGCAGACGATTTTTGCTGGTCACTGACCACAAGCCGCTACTGGGGATTTTTGCGCCCGATAAGCAATTGCCAAACATCATGTCCCCACGCATGCTTAGATGGGCGATATTTTTGCAGGCTTATGATTTTGACTTAGAGCACCGGCCTGGGAAAGCGATTGGGCATGCGGATGCCCTCAGCCGGTGCCCGGTGCCGGACATTGGCGCAGACCCTGCCCCCGCCTGTGAGGTCTTGGCAATTGAGGAGCTTCCTCGACCCCCGGTATCATCCAGGGACATTGCAGCACACACGGCCAAGGATAGCGTGCTGTCCCGAGTATTAAACTGGGTTTGGAGGGGGTGGCCGGTTGGAAGCGTTGAACCGGAGTTCGGCCCTTACAAAAGCCGTCAAAATGAACTATCCATTTCTAAGGGCTGTGTATTATGGGGGAACAGGGTGGTGGTTCCTGACAAACTCAGGACGAGAGTGTTAGAGTCGCTGCACGAGGGTCACCCCGGTATGGTACACACCAAAGCGTTGGCCAGAGGGTATGTCTGGTGGCCGGGGCTGGACAAAGAGATCGAAGAATGGGTACGAGGGTGTCCCAAATGCCAGCAAGTCAGACCCGATCCCCCACAAGCTACACCCCAAGGCTGGGAGTCATCTGGTAAACCCTGGGCCAGATTGCATATAGATTTTGCTGGCCCTCTCCAAGGGCAAATGTTCCTAATTGTGGTGGACGCTATGTCCAAATGGCTGGAGGTCGTGCATATGAAATCGACCACATCACTTGCTGTGATCCATGCGCTCCGCCGACTTTTTGCCACCCACGGGTTGCCTGACGTCATCGTCAGTGACAACGGGCCTCAATTTGTGTCTGAGGAATTTAGGCTCTTCCTCACGAGTAATGGCATACGCCAAATGACTTCGGCCCCTTTCCATCCGGCATCTAATGGCCAAGCCGAACGGATGGTCAGGACGGCCAAAGAGGCCCTGGGTAAAATGGACGAAGGGGACTGGAGCCAGAGGCTGGGCTCCTTTCTTTTGCTGCAGCACACCACCCCCTGTAGTGCTACAGGCCGTAGTCCGGCCGAATTGTTAATGGGGCGGAGACTCACGACCCGTTTGAACCGAATGCACCCAGACCTCACTGAAGAGCAATCCGAGCGTACCACGGCGCAACCGAAGGTGCGCATGTTTGAAAAAGGGGACAAGGTTTTCGCACGAAATTATGCAAACGGGCACTTATGGCTTCCTGGGGTTATATCCGACTCTGTGGGTACTCGAATGTATGTGGTGCAGTTAGCTGACGGTCGAATATGGCGGCGCCACATAGATCAGTTAAGGAGACGTTGGGCTAGGGACAGCGCTGACTCTCCGACGGCTGAATCCCCTGATGTCGAGTGGACACCCCCAGAGCAGGCGGTGAGTACCGAAAGGCCCGGTACTGTCCCCGAGTCAGGGCAGAACCCTGTGTGCGGGGCTGAAATCCCAGTCGAGTCTGTGCCTGATCCAGGCTGTAGTGAACCCCACTCTGACCCACAACCTTGTCTGCCCGTGGAGCCTGCACCGCTCCGCAGGTCCCAGCGTTCGCGGCAAATGCCGACTTATCTGAAGGACTATGAGTGTAAATACTGTTGGAATAACTGATGTACAAAGGTTGATTGCATGTTTGTAAATAATAAAACAATTGGGATGATGGCTTAACTTAGGGGGGAGGAATTGTAATGTATTGAAATGATTACATGAATCACCTCATAGGACTCCCCTGTTAAGCTTCGAGCCAGACCAGGGCTCCTCTGAGCGAACTTCCTATTGGTCGCTTCGTAACAGCGACCAATCAGAACGATACCATTCCCTAGGAGGGAAAGACTCCCATTGGTCTTTATTCTAGCAATCTCATTGGTTGTTATTTGTAAATAGGCGTGGCTACATTAGCCCGGTTATGTTTAAAAGGAGCATAAGCTCCCACTGTTTTCTGTTCTGGTTTCTTACTGAGTTAGTGCTTGCTCGTTACTTCCAATAAAGCTGAATCACTTGCTGAATCACTGTACGAGTCCTTTGTTAGCGCGATCTAACAGTTAGGATATTCCTGATCTATAATACCGTCAGAGTTCCAGTATTCAGGACAGAATTTTCAATTGGCTGGAGAACTTTGATGACTGCATGCTTTAATGCACTCTAGTAGTTATCATGAAATACAGAACATTAACTAAATAATTTTGCTGAGAAATGGTGCAATCCTATCTTTATATCTTTCTAAGTGCATTGAAGGCGGTGGGCTTAGAAAGGGTGTAAGGCTGCTAGAATAGGCAGTTTCTTTAATGCTTAAACTTGAGAGTCATGGTGAAACTTTGAAGAGTTAAGTGTATGAAACTTCAAAATTTTGTCACAGACTCCGATCACCTCCATGACCTTTTCCCTATCGTAAAGCCTCTGCAATAAAAAGAGGCTCCTAAAATTTTAAAATGCAAATACACTACAGAAGTTAGATAATACTAGTGGGGGACCCACAAGAACTTGCAGGAGGCATCACAGTCCCTCCTCCCACATTATTTCCTGTCTCCGTTCATTGGCAACCCCCAAAGCTTCTTCTACCTTTACCTGCCCCCTGTCTTCAAGTTTTCTTCCTTCCCTTCTCCTGGTAGCCAGGAAAACTCTGGTTGAGGAGTGTGGTGCTAGCCACTGGGGCCAGTTGCGTGGTGCTGGCTACCAGGCCCAGTTGTGCTGTGGGGTAACTGCAAGGCCTTTTGATAGGTCACCTCACTCTCCCCTGAATCTCCTTCTGTATACTATTTCCTCTTTCTCTTCTGCTGGTAGCTCCAATACGCAAAATCTTTCCCTGCTTCCTTCTCTCCTTTCCACCAAGGTATCTTTTTAAAAATCTATTCCCCATTTTCAGCTTTTCAGATTATTATTTACTTATTATTATTTATTTACTTCATACCTCAACTTTCTCCACACTGGGAGTTTACATAACTCTCCTCCATTTTATCTTCACAACAACCCTGTGATGTAGATTAGATTGATATTATGCGGCTGTGCCCAGTAACAGCCAAAGGGGGCATTTGTTCCTTAAAGCTACAGGTGCTGCTTCTATTATTTTGAAAACTTTTAAACCCCCTGTGTATTTTTTTGTTTAGACTTCAGATTTGTTTGGCATACCTGGGAATTTTCTCCTGTTTGTAAAAAGAAAGATCTGTCTTTTCTGTTCATGGCCCCAATATCTAGATTTAAGTATCCACAGAAGGAAGGGAGGGGGAGGAAGAAGAATAGTTGGTTTTTATACCCTGCTCTTCACTACCCAAAGGAGTCTCAAAGCGGCTTACAACTGCCTTCCCTTCCTCTTCCCATAACAGACACCTTGTGAGGTAGGTGGGGCTGAGAGAGTTCTGAGAACTGTGACTGACCCAAGGTTACCTAGCTGGCTTAGAGGGGGACATAATGTGGCAGCAGCTATTAAGCTTTTTACCATGAAATCTTTAATGCAAATGTTATATGCAGCCCCATTTGGTATTAGTGCTAATATGATATTGATGGAGAGGATCCAGTCCAAATTTCTAAGAGCAGTTTTTCAAACTCCACGAATGTATCAAATGCAGCAATTGGAATAGAGTCAGGAATGGTGACAGTAGAAGCTAGGATGTGGATAGTTGTGTTTAGATAATGGTTGAAGTTAGCCCACAACGAGTATGGGATTGCTCATTTGATTTTAAAAGATGACTTTACACCGCCATGGCTCATTATGATGAGGAATAAATTAGTTTATTATGGTCTACAGGGGTCATTTCACAAAAAAAGAGGTGCAGGAGCTTATTAGCATAACTCATTAGCATAACTTATTTGCATATGCCACACCCCCTGACATCACCAGACACCCACTTCTCAGGCATTTAAGATCATTTAAACAGACTTCAGCACATATCTCACTGGTACAATATATATATATGAATGATCTAATTGCAACTTCTCCATAAAATATGCCCAAATCAAGCATTTCTGAGCCCGACATGACAACTGACAAAGAGTGCTTAAAGTTGTACTGTTCTTTCCACCTCCCTCCCAATTAAATCACAACCTTTAAGGCAATAAAGACCTTCAGCTTACCAGACCTCTTTCTACAGCCACAAAATGCCATAACTAACCCCTAAATGGATGGAATGGGTACAGAACCCAGAAAGAAAAAGAGGCAGAAGGATGCAAAAGCCAAGTTTTTGGCAATGCAAGCTCCGAAAGAGCAGCTGATTTAACAAGGCTGTTCTTGTAAGTGAAGTAAAGTTTATTAATCACTCATACATCCCACTGATTCCTATTGTACTGATGATTAGTTACCAGCCACTTGGAAGTCATACCAGTGCAATACTAAGAATATATAAAAGGGAGAGGGAACCCTCTCCAAGGTTTTGACAGGATGTACTATAAGCTGCGGTGGCTCAAGTGGTTAAGACGCTGAACTGCAGGCTGTGGAAGGTTGGTAGTTCAGCAGTTCGAGACCCGAGTGTGCCGCATGACAGAGTGAGCTCCCGTCTCTAGTTCCAGCTCCTGCCAACCTAGCAGTTCGAAAGCAAGAAATTGCAAGTAGATAAATAGGTACTTCGGTGGGAAGGTAACAGCGTTCCGTGCACCATGGTGTTTAGTCATGCCGGCCACATGACCACGGAAACATCTTCAGACAGCGCTGGCTCTTCGGCTTTGAAACGGAGATGAGCACCGCAACCCTAGAGCGGGATTCGACTGGCTTTCGAGCAAGGGAACCTTTACCTTTACCTTTTACTATAAGGAAGGACAGGATTGCCCATTGGAAACAATGGGAGAGACTTGTAGGCCCATTGGAAACAATGGGAGCCAGGAATGC